TTCTTTCTTTCTTTTCTTTTATTTTCGCAGTGAAACCAAGTAGCGTCCCTGGAATAAAAAAATTAGAGCACACGATCATTAGGCCAGGTCAGTTCTGTCACTGTGGTATTACATTAAATTTGAAAGTGATATAATGGAATATGCATACACCTGAGTTCCACCTCAGTGAAATATGATTGGCTGGTGTCCGTCATAAATACAGACGGTCGTGTAGGTACAACAGAGTTTAAGTCTGTGACGAGGTCCATTGGGCTACGCCATTGGCTATCCTATTGGTCTACACCTATTACCTACGACTACAACGAGTACCAGTCGATTACTGCTACCGCGTACTACTTGGTTACAGTAGCCAAGACCACTTAGCTACTTCGATCAAATATATCCCTTTCCGGGACATATCAGAAAGTTAGGGGTGTCAATTGATAAATAAGGAAGCAGTTTTTTTCCCAAATCGTTACCGTTTTTTGAGGAAACGAGTTTAAATATAAGTTTAGGTTAAAAAATGGAATATGGGCATTTTGTTCCGGTGACCACTGAAAGTCTTAGAGCACAGCCATATAAAATTTATAATTGAAATATATACACTTAGTTGCTACGAAATTAAAAGGAATAATAAATTCTATAACCAACAACTGTATATCTTCAATATGATCCAGAGAATAAAGCAACAATCGACTGAAATGCAGAATGTTGTGTTAAAAAATTTACAGCACAATGCTTTCATCTCCCGTCCAGACAATATTCTTTTCTCAATGTTGAGAGGTGAGGGAAGAGGCTAAGTTGCCATTAGATAAGTAAACATTTATTCATACTTAATTAGTTAGGTGAATTTACAAGACTAATTTTAAAATTTCATGTAAATTGCCTCACAAAAATATAACCAAGTATTTTTTTTTGTTGTTTTAAAAGTAGCAAGCCACCAAAGAAGAGGATAAAAAATTACATTCATCAACTTTGAAGTGACACACTGATCAAATTTAATTAAGATCTCACAAAGTCGAGTTTGTGGACCTGCATTTGCAGAAGGTTTTTTTTTTTTTAAATAATGACCTGCAAGAGTTCTAATGAATGGAACGACGTTTGAGTTGAAGATTTTCACAAATGAAGAAGAGACTTGAAGTTTGGTTTGTTTAACGGCATATCAACCTTAATGGGCTATTTAATGCCGAGCAGAATTTTAGGATAGGTTCGTATGACTAAAATATGTATTCTTTGGATTGGTTTATTTTGTTTTACGGCATATCAACCTTAATGGGCTATTTAATGCCGACAAGAATTTTAGGATAGGTTCGTATGAATAGAATATGTATTTTTTGAATTGGTTTATTTTGTTTTACGGCATACCAACCTTAATGGCTTATTTAATGCCGACAAGAATTTTAGGATAGGTTCGTATGAATAGAATATGTATTCTTTGGTTTGTTTCGTTTTGTTTTACGGCATATCAACCCTAATGGGTTATTTAATCCCCAAAAGATTTTTATTGCCAGTAATATGAATATTTTTTCTTTTTCAAAAATGTTGCTCGTAATAATTTTTCCCAAAATGTATTGCTGGTATTAAAACCTATTTTTACACTCTCGTAGTGTTTTTACCCCAATATGGAGGTTAATTATTTGCCCATAGCTGGGAACGTAACAGGTGCTACCACCCTGGGTCAGGGGAACACTAGCAATTAGAGATGGTTCCACGCTCCTCAAAACATCCTTGTAGTTTATCGTCATACACAGGACGCCCCATGGGGGGGTACCCATTGGCAGAGGTGCAGTCGGCGTATTCTGAATACCCAGTGGACAGTGGGGGACCTGAGGTCACAAAAATGTGACTATACAGAAGAATACTTAAAATAATATGGACCGAAAATTTTCTAGGTCGCATAATGAGGAAAGAGGGCTTAGAAAATTTGATACCCACAGGACAGATTGAAGATAAGAGAGACTGAGTAAAACAGCGCATTACCTACCTAGGAGCCTTGTGTAATTGGATGACGGAACAAAGTTTAGGAGAAATAATAAAAAGAAAAAAGATTATTAAGAGCCATGATCGCCAACGTACTGAAGGGATACGGCACGCGAAAATTTTAATTTTCTGATGAATTTTAATTCTTCAGTTAATGACTAAATAAGATTATGGCGAGTTTTACAACATTAGAATATTTTTAGAAATTCCCCCATCGCATTGTTAAGATTTTGATTTTAACAACTTTAATAACAGTCATAAATGTGAAAGTTGTTTTTTTATGTTAAGAAGTAAGAGGGTACAAATGAAAAGATTTGAAATTGACAACGTTTCATTAAAACAAAAACGTTAAACAGTTCTTTCTTTTTTTCTTTCATTTCCTCCGTGAAACCAAATGCATCTCTGGTATGTCTTTTCTGTTTTTCCCCGTGATAAAATTTATTTATGAGGTATTGGTAGAGCGTAGAAAAGATCTGGAATTGACATCTTTTAACATTTCACTAAAGCAGATGTTAAACTCATTATCGCTTTTTATATTTTCGTTTCTTTCTTTTTATATTTTCGTTTCTTTCTTTGGTTCTTTCATTCATTCATTCATTCTTTCTTTCTCAGTTTTTTTATTTTTCTCAGTTCAGAATTCCCGATACGTTGCCCTACAAGTCGATATACATCTGAAGACGGCTGGAGAGCACAACGATCGAAACGTTGTGATAGCAACAAAGAAGAGATACCAGGTCAGGATCAATTACATAACTGTTCTTTTTTGAATTTTGTCAGGAAGAACGAGATTTATATTACTTCAAACGTTATTTTTAGTGGACACCCGTATTTGAGTAGACGCCACGTTTTCATTTTAGACAGTATCTATTTCAATTTCAGAAATGCGAACTCGAGAAAAGTTACTAAGGAAAATAAAAATAATTTATTAAAAGAATGTACACTATTTACATTGCTCGGACTAACATCCTCATCTTTGTTGCCATATTTATCACAATGTTTCAGTCGTTGTACGCCCGGCCTTCTTCAGGTGGTTGGAATGTCGAACTGAACACTTTATTTCGTTCGCTGGGGTATACTGTTCTACTTCCACGTGCCATATCTCTCCGTTATCAGTTATCTCTTGTTAATTCCGCTCTCCAAGTTCTCCACAGCCATAACCAGGTATTGAACTCACACTGATTGGGTCCTGTCACTGCATCTAACTAACGTCTTTATCCACTGTGCTATGTTTCCTTGAAACGTTGTAATAAATATGGCGACAAAGATGAGGATCAGAGACCGAGCAATGTAAATAGTGTACATAATACCTCATCTAAGAAATATAGACAGATATTAATGGAATGTAGTATTAAATAATAAAATCCATTACACACACATACACACACACAAACAAACATGCACATATACATGCGCGTATGTGTGTTTGTGCGTGTGCATAAGTATATATATAAATGTGTGTGCGTGTGTGCAAATATATAGAAAAAAAAAGAAAAAACATGTTCGTTAGTACTTTCATTTTTATTTTTAAAAAAGCCATTGTGTTTTAATGGCTTTACAGCCATATGGAGGTTGGGTTTGATATATATATATATATATATATATATATATATATATATATATATATATATATTATAATTATTTTTAAAAAAATATAATTCCATCGCTACATAATATTTTTTACATTACAGAAACAGAAGCTAAAATGTGTTTGATACTTTTAATTCAATTCAATTTTTTTATAATTAAATTGAAGTTTTTAGCTTCTGATTTTGAAACATGAGAACTCTTATGTAGCGATAGAATCATAATTTTAAAAAGTAATTATAATATATATATATATATATATATATATATATATATATATATATATATATATATAGGTTACAGTGTTTGGATGAATAGGTTACAGTGTGTGGATGAATTAGAAACAGAAATATTAATAATGAGCATGAAGTGAAAAGAGTAATCTGGAGGATTTTATACATACATATATATATATATATATATATATATATATATATATATATATATATATAACTCTGGTTTTCCTTTTATCAAACAGAGAAATCAATATCTGTCAGTTATGTGCCAAAAGCTTGATACACGTGTAGGCGATCATGTATCTTTCGATGGCTGACGAGATAGATTTTTATTCCCGCGGTAGGTTGCCTTTCTTTCTGCGGTAGTCCAGTTGCCACCCAAGGCTATAGAACCCGGTCTCTTCTGGTATTTACCCATAGCGGGGGAGAAAAAGATGGTTCAGTCAGTTATGTGCCATGCGAAAGATACATGACTGGCAAGGCAGATTTTTATTCCCGCAGTAGGTTGCCATTTCTTTCTGCGGTAGACTAGTTGCCATCTAAGGCTACAGAACCCGGTCTCTCCTGCTATTTCCCATAGTTGTGGGGGTGGGGAAAGAGGATTCATACCTTACCCAAGGGTATTAGCACGTAACTGGAATTCAAACTCCCGTTAAAGAAAGGTTGTTCCTCCGACAGGAATCGAACCTACATCCCTTTTTTCCCTCAATTTATGCCGGTTCTTGTTAATTTCACTGTTTAATAAAATAAAATAAAAATAAACAGGGATAGTAACCCAAACACGTGTGCCAACTAAGAATAACATTTATACAGACGCAAGTAATATATATATATATATTGGATGTATTAGTGCAGCAGGTTTTTATTCATGTTGATTAAAGTCCATCGAAATCTTGTTTATTTTTACATATTTTTTATATATATATATATATATATATATATATATATATATATATATATATATATATATATATATATATATATATAATTTGTATGTGAATGTGTATTTTAAATCTGAAGAAAACATTGTCAGTATTAGTATTAAACACTTCACTGCCCCTTCAGCATTCGATTAATGCCACTGATTGATTAGAGAGATAGTTTCAGGATGAATGTAAAATGAAGTCCCGACTCCCATAAATATGTCAAAATGTTTAATTTCTACTATTGCTGAGGATTCGCTGCCTTGATTTTTTGAAGCAAAAATTATCTGCATGATAAATGGTCCTCTCCACCTTCCATTGGCTTCCGTATTTGAACCCTGTTTTCTTTTACGCCTCCCTTTCTCTCGCTCCTGGTATGCCAGACCGGCAACCAAACCATTCTTTGTTTTTTCGTTGTAATTCTACATATCTGTTATTCTCTTTCTGTCTTTTCAATGACAACGATCGCGTTTGACTTCCTTTTTTCTCTTTCTGTTTTATGCTGAGTCTTTCTCTTCCTCTTTTTCTTTCTACTTTTATTCTACTCTTCCATCTTTCATGTCCTTTTCTCCTTCTTTTTTACTTTCTTTCTTTCTTTCCTCTCCATTCTGTCTTACTTTTCTTTCTTTTTCTTTCTTTTTTTTCTTATCTCTTCTCACCATTCTTTCTTACTTTCTTTCTCTCTTTCATTCCACTTTGTTTGCTTCTTTCTTACTTCTTCCATTCATTCTATCTCTTTTACTTTCTTTCTTTCTTTCTTTCTTATCTCTTCTCACCCTTCTGTCTTACTTTCTTTCTCTCTTTCATTCTTACTTTGTTTCTTTCTTTCTTATCTCTTCTCACCATTCTGTTCTACTTCCTTTCTCTCTTTCTTTCTTACATTTTTATTTCTTTCTTATCTATTCTCGCCATTCTATGTCTTTTACTTTCTTTCTTGCTTTTTTCTTTCTTTCTTTCTAATCTCTTCGCGCCATTCTATGTCTCTTAATTCTTTCTTTCTTTTTACTTTTCTCCATTCTAACTCTTTTTACTTCCTTTTCTTCCTTTCTTTCTTTCTTTCTTTCTTTCTTTCTTTCTAATCTCTTCTCATCATTCGGTTTTACTTTCTTTCTCGCTTTGTGTGATCTTTCTATCTTTCTCCATTTTCCTTTTTTCTTATATCTTCTCGCCATTAAAAAAAAAACTTCTTTTTCTTTCTTTCTTTCTTTCTTTCTTTCTTTCTTTCTTATCTCTTCTCACCCTTCTGTCTTACTTTCTTTCTCTCTTTCATTCTTACATTTTTATTTTTTTCTTATCTCTTCTCGCCATTCTATGTCTTTTACTTTCTTTCTTTTTTGCTTTCTTTCGTTTTTTCTTTCTTTCTCTCTTTCTTTCTTTCTTTCTTTCTTTCTCTTCGCGCCATTTCTCTTATTTCTTTCTTTCTTTTTACTTTTCTCCATTTACTTCCTTTTCTTTCTTTCTTTCTTTCTTTCTTTCTTTCTAATCTCTTCTCATCATTCGGTTTTACTCTCTTTCTCGCTTATTGTGTTCTTTCTTTCTTTCTTTCTTTCTTTCTTTCTTTCTTTCTTTCTTCAATTTTCTTTTTTTCTTGTATCTTCTCGCCATCCTGTCTTTTACTTCTTTCTTTCTTTCATTTCACTTTTCTCCACTCTCTTTTTACTTCCTTTTCTTTCTTATCTCTTCTATCCATCATATCTCTTTCACTTTCGTTCTGTCTTTCTTTCTTTCTTTATTTCTTTCTTTCTTTCTTTCTTTCTTTCTTTCTGTCTTTCTTTCTTTCTTTCTTTCTTTCTTTCTTATCTCTTCTCCCCATTCTTTCTCTTTTACTTTCTTTTTGTCTCCCTTTCCTAGTTCCTTCTATTCATCCTCACTTCTTTTTACAACTATTTCGTTTACTTTTCACCTTTTTTCTCCCTTCTGTCAACCCTCCTCTTCTCTGCCCTCCCGCTATATTTCCTAACATTCATCCTTCAACCAATCTCTTTTCTAATTCTCGAACTGCTTCTTCATCCGAATATTTTCCATTCCAAATCCTATCCCAGCAATCCGAGATCTCCCACCCCTACAAATGCTCGCATAATCATCCCTCGTTTTCATTGAGAAACCTAATTTATCGCCGTCTTCACGTCACCTACCTCATCTCGTTCCTACACGAGTTCACAATTGCCATTCTTATCTCAAATCAACGGATAATTTCGCCCCCTCTTTCACCGGAAAATAACAGCGCCTCGATAGAGTGAAACAAATTCTCGTCTCTTTCTAGTCAACTGATTAATCTTATGCACTCCACATCGCAATCTGGATTTAATCTAAGTATATATATATATATATATATATATATATATATATATATATATATATATATATATACACAGTGGAGGGAAATAAATATTCGTACACATGAAAAATTGTATTTTTATAAATGTAAAAGCCTTAACTAAAACTAATTTTGATTTATTTTATGTGTAAAGATACATTTAATTAAGAAATAGTAATAAACTTAATTAATTCTTATTCTAACAGAAATTAATGCATTTTTTTCATTTTAACTGATGAAAAAAGTATTCGTACAAAACAAAAAAAGCATATTAACTTAATTTAGTACTTTGTGGAATATCCTTTATTGAGTTCAACAGCTACCAGTCTATTCCTGTAAGTCTCAACTAATGATTTGCACACATTGAGTGGTATTTTGTCCCATTCTTCTTGGCATATTGTCTTCAAATTCTTGATATTTGTTGGTGCTCTTTTTCCAATTTGAATTTTCAACTATTGCCATAAATTCTCGATTGGATTCAAATCTGGCGACTGACTTGGTCATTGCAAGACTTCAACGTTAATTTCACCTAACCATTTCCTTGTAGATCTAGCGTTATGCTTAGAATCATTATCCAGTTGGAAAACCCAATCAGGAGGTAGCCGAAGTCTCTCAACAGAACGCATTAAATTGTCTTGCAGGATTTTCTGGTATCTTTCGCAATTCATCTTGCCATCTATTAGTGATATTCAGCAAACACCTTTTGTGGAAAAACAGCCCCAGATCATGATACTGCCACCACCAAACTTGGCAACGTGTCCTTTGGTAAGTAGGCTTCACCGTCCTTCCTTCATACAGGATTTCGATAATTATGACCAAACAACTCTATTTTAGTTTCATCTGTCCATAGTACTTTTTCCCAAAACAAATATTCTTTATCCTTATGCTCTCTAACGAATTTTACCCTAGCATCTCTGTGTCGTTTCAAGAGGAGTGGATTCTTCCTTGGGATGCGTGATTTCACACTGTTTTTGTGTAGTTCATTACTTATTGTACGCTTGGTTACTTTAATCCCTAATGCACGCAGATGTTCCTGTAGTTCTTCTCAGGTAGCCTGTGGATTTTGTTGGATCTGGCGTCCTAAAATCCTTGCTGATCTTAGAGAAATCTTCCTCGGAGCACCTGTTCGTCTTTGTTTTTCGGCACTGTTACGAGTTTTAAACCTTGCAATGAACGAAGCAATTGTAGTAAAAGGAATATTCAGGTTGTTAGAAATCGTTCTGTAACTGTTCCCATCTTTTCAAAAAGACAAAATGTGTTGTTTTTTGTGAAATAGTCAATTCTTTACCTTTAGGCATTATTAGAACCTTCTCGTAAGACTAGAAATTGCAGAATGCTCTGATAATGGCTAATAGCGTTAACTATAATTACTGATAACATTACTGGAACATTCTAGAATATACTTTTTTCATAAATAATTGATTATTTTATTCTAATAATTGATTTGTATGAATACTTTTTTCACCAGTTAGAATTTAAAAAAATGCATTAATTTCTGTTAGAATAAGAATTAATTAAGTTTATTATTATTTTTTAATAGTATGTGTCTTTATACATAAAATGTGCCAAGATTTGTTTTATTTAAGTCTTTTACATTTATAAAAATACAATTTTTCAAGTGTACGAATATTTATTTCCCCCCACTGTATATATATATATATATATATATATATATATATATATATATGTGTGTGTGTGTGTGTGTGTACAAATAAAGAGAACGAACAGTCAGATTAAGAATCCACAGTCCTTGAGCATTTATTTTCTTTAAAGTGCTCGATACATTGTAGTGCAAAATATTTTAATATTTTTATTTTAAAAATAGTTTACATCGCGAAACGGAAATGTCTGTGATTCGGAACTTTAAAATTATTTTCATTAATATATATATGGAATCTAATTTTTATATATATATATATATAATATATATATATACATCGCGCTTAATAATGGAATCTAATTTTATATATATTAATAATATATATTATATATATATATCTAATTTATATATATATATATATATATATATATATATATATATATATATATATATATATATATATATATATATATTATGCGGTGCTTATTAGATAGAAAAGAAAAAATCGTCAAACGGAAAAAAAAAAGCGAAAAAATCTTAAAAATTCATCAAAGGTCACACATGTTTGAAAATATATATATATATATATATATATATATATATATATATATATATATATATATAAATTCAAAAAATATTAGTCTTAAGGTGTGCTGTATTTGTGGGAGATGTTAAATGTTCAATATCAGAGATAGAGCGTTTGTAAATATGTTTTGTATATATATATATATATATATATATATATATATATATATATATATATATATAGTGAGTGTGTTTGTGTGTGTAAGTGTGTGTGCGTGCCGCGCGTATGATTGTACATTAATATCCCATGGTACAGGGCCACACTACACTAATCAAGGACTAAAATATTTGAGTAAATGAATGGGAAAGCAAGACAAAGAGGTGTAGTAAAGAGGATGAAAATTCTTACGGCACCAAAAGTCAGGGATTTGTTGTGAGCCCATGTCCACATCTTGAAATATTATGTCATATAAAAGGAAAAAAATAAACTTTCATAATTAGGCTATTTGTTTATTTCTGATATATTTTATTTTTGATATATATATATATATATATATATATATATATATATATATATATATATGCATTGAGTCAATAGTTTCGTTCACCACAAGGAAGATTGGCTTCCTGTGCCGGACCAGGAAATTTTTCTCGCCGGAGTCGATCCTTCAAATCTACAAATCAACCATTCGCCATTGCATGGAATATTGCTGCCATATATTGTCCGGTGCCCCTTCTGTTTGTCTCAAGGTTAAAATCCAGAGACGGATCTGCAATGCAATTGGCCCTGATCTGGCATCTCGTCTGCAGTCGCTCTCTCACAGACGTGCCGTTGCCTGCCTCTGTCTTTTTTTACAAATATTTTCATGGTAACTGCTTTCGCTGGTTCCCAGATTTCATGAATTTAAGCGTTCAACTAGGCTAGCATCTCGCTCTCACCCGTTCACTGTCGAAACTGTTAAATGTAGCCGTCTCTTCGACTCCAATAGCTTCATGTCTCGTACTTCTCGCCTGTGGAACTCCCTCTCCTTTTCTTGTTTCCCCGATAGCTATAATCTCCAACTATTCAAATGTAATGTCAATTGATGTCGCCAGATGCCCTGATCTATCCCTATCCTTCTCTTCATCCTTTCCTCAATCACTCCTGTTTGCTCTCGATTCAACTCTCTCTAACGCCTTGCGTGCTAGTGGCTTCCTGCCTTGCTTGGGTGAAACGCTTAAAAAAAAATCTATCTATCTATATCTCTCTCTCTCTCTCTCTCTCTCTTATATATATATATATATATATATATATATATATATATATATATATATATATATATATATATATATCTGAATGTGATTTTCCAAGAGAACAAAGCAATCATTTGATCCTTGATATGATAGCCTTTCGTTTTTGGTGATTACTTGGCAATGAGATACCGGCTTTATTTTCCTGTTGTATGCGTATACGGCCTCAGTGGCAAGGTTGCAATTTAAGCCGAATTGTTTCGTGTGTCAATGCAGTAGTCATTTTACCACCAAAGTTGAGATGGGGCCGAAATAATCTTATCGACACCCAGAGAACTGCTTCAGCGAATTTTCGTGTCCGTCAAAACTGACGAGAACGGGGTCGTTGCGAGGATTTAGCTCAGCTTATCATGCGTGGACATTAACAAACTCTCACAGTAGAACAGATAAAATTACGAACGTAGGCTTCACACATATGTACATCTAGACATATTTCCTTACACACATACATATGTATTCTTAACAAAGTTACATTTTTTTGTCAACATACGCACGTACAAAAACTTACATCGGATATACAATAATACTTACGAACCTACCCTTGATAAAGCTTACGTAGGAAAACCATTGAGCAAAAAACATTATACATAAAAAAATATCCGAGCTAAAAATGCTGTCTACCTAAGCATGAATTTAGCAGTTTTATACGTAGCCAGATAAATAAGTTTGCTGTTTAATGTGGAAAAAATATTTTTCTGCGTTAACTGCTTCATTGTCAATGAATTTAACTTAATCGTGAATATTAATTACATAGACCGAATACAATATTATAAAGCTTCGTATATACATATATTCATATTACTTATTTTATTTAAAATTATCCCAGTTGCAAAATTAGAGGCAAATTTTTATATTAAAAAATTATATTGTTGATACAGACTATCTTCAAAATAAAAATTAGATTCTTGAAAATAAAAACTAGTATTATTAAATATTTCCTCTTCAGTAGAACAAAGAAAGAAATTGTTTATGCTAATTTAAAAATTCCAATGGATGGCACGAAGATACCATTTATTTTTTTAATTTTCAATTTCCTCACATTTTACATATATTTAATTGGTTATCACTCAATATTATTCTGTTAATTAATGTTATATTCTTGTTCATATAAATTGATTTAACTTTTTAAAACTTTTTATACTATTAATATGTTATTGTATCATAGCGAAATAAGTATTTTCATCTCCAGAGAAACAAATTTTAAATATAACAAAAATCACAATAAATTCTATAAAGATTATTAGAATTATTTTTTGTTTGAAATTCACATTTTTGGAAAGTATTTTCAGACTTTGTTGATGCAAGATTTTGTAAAATGTTGAAATTGCTATCTGATTGTATTATACAATTATATTTTGTGTAATCAATTGGTATAAACAAATTAACTCATTATTTTCGCAGTATCATGTACAATTTAATTTGAATAAAGTTATTTTTGCACATTGGATTATTTTGATATTTTTATCCTTTCGTTTTCCATTTGCATTGACGGAAAAAAGTCAATAATTGTAAGATGCTTCCTAATATTATATATAATGGACATTACTAACAAGTTCCTTGCTAAAAATGGTTCACAGTAATTGTTATAACAGCTGTAATTTCTGTCTCCCCATGTCTGCACCCAGTCGCATGGATCGTCATTATATATATATATATATATATATATATATATATATATATATATATATATATATATATATGTGTGTGTAAATCATCGAAATTACCCAATATATATATATATATATATATATATATATATATATATATATATATATATATATATATTTCGATCCATAGATATAAATACATATACTTTCAATGAATATATATATTCAACATGGTTCAACACCATCACTTGATAAGACACTAGAAGTGTTGAAATAAATTGGTTATTTTTGTAGTGATTTTACAACATTTTTGTTATAATTTTGAATAAATATATATATATATATATATATATATATATATCGAAAGTATATAGCTATATACACACACATACATACATATAAATATATATATATATATATATATATATATATATATATATATATCGAAATAACACTGATATACACACGTACATATATAGTGATTTTCTACGCGTAGTTTAGATGTGGCACAAGACCGAATGTATGAGGCACACAGTGAGTATCAGACTCACTACTCAGTCGTAATTGTTGTAGCCAGAAAGGCTTCCCACCCATTACACCCATTACATATATATATATATCAGGTCATCCCATAAGTTCTGTCCGAATTTTGAATAAAGAAAACAAGTGACCAAATGTTACATTTAATTAAAGATTCAATCAACAATGTATTTTCCCTGATTATCTATGACTTTCTTCCATGTATTAACAAGCTTAGTAATTCCATTACTGTCAAATTATTTTGGCTTTGATTCGAAGAACTCAAAAATGTGAGTTTTAACCTCTTCCTGTGTTACAAAAGCTGTTTCTTCCAAATGATTCTGTAAGCTACGAAACAAATGATAGTCTGAAGGAGCAAGATCGGAAGAATAAGGTGGATGAGAAATTGTTTTCTTCGATCTTTTGTGACGTGATTCTTGCTGTGTGGTGTCACGCATTGTCCCGATGAAACATCACCCCTTTTCGATTCACTAGAACAGGTATTTTTTCCTCAAAGCTTGGTTAAAATGCTCTACTTGGTGACAGTATATTTGAGCATTAATTGTTGCATTAGGTGGTAAGAATTCAAAATGGATTATTCCTTGGAGATCCTACCAGAATGAAAGAAGAACCTTTTCCCCATGAAGTTCCCTTCTCGGCTGTGACTGGGGTCCTGCCGCTTTATCAAGCCACTGTCTACTACGCTTAACATTTCGATAAAATATCCATTTTTCGTCGACTCTCGCAAAATAAAAAAAATATCTATCCATCTCACCTGTATACATATATATATATATATATATATATATATATATATATATATATATATATATATATATATATATATATATATATAACATTGAAGTCAACACTCAGAGGCGACAGGCTGTTTAATGCTAGACGGAATCGGGGGCCTCAGGATTGCGTCCAGCATGAAACAGCCTGTCGCCTCTGAGTGTTGACTTCAATGTTCACGTTTATATTTACATACGCTCTATCTCTTATATTGGAGCACATTATCCCATAAATAGAGCACACTTTACAACTATATATATATATATATATATATATATATATATATATATATATATATATTGTTGGAATAGTTGATACTTGCTTACAAACATAACTGCCAGGGTTTCAATACTCGGTAGGGGATGGTCACTGCTGATGAGTTCCAAATATAGGACGAAACGGCCGTCCTGTTCTTTTTGCATTTTGTTGAGGTTTCAGACTCGATGAATTACTTATATATATATATATATATAGAGAGAGAGAGAGAGAGAGAGAGATAGATAGATAGATAGATAGATATGAAAAGAGTGAGCTAGATAGATAGATAGAGAGATAGATATGAAAAGAGTGAGCTAGATAGATAGATAGATAGATAGATAGATAGATAGATAGATAGATATTAGGTTATATTCGACGTGGTGTGGTGGTCAGCAATCTTGTCACGCGAGATCAATTACGACTGACTAGTGAGTTTTATCGTCACTGGGTGCGCCATACTTTCAGCCTTGTGCCATATCTAAGCTACGCCTAAGTAAATAGCTAATATCCTTTTGTTCAGCATGTATACGTTCATGTACAAAAGCATGACGACACTCGTAGATTCGTTTCTCGCGTTTACATTAACGCGAGGGCGTGAGCATAAACGCGCGCGTTCTCACCCACACCCTCACCCCACAAACACACTTACACGCATGCGCTCTTAATCTGGTAGAAACGCCGAGAAGGAATGAGCACGCACTTTGACGCAGTTTCTTGATATCAGACCCAGCAGTCAGATCAGATGTTGTATTTAACCCTGAAAACATACACCAAAAAGCAATTTGAGATATGAAGTTACCAGCGATTATCATTTCCCACGAAATCACAAGAAGACATTTTTTTCACCTATTGAAATCTGACACAAGGCTATGATTTGCGCGCAACGCTAATTTTCATACAAAGACGAATATACAGCTCTGCAATCTTCCGGTGGAATCAAGCTTAATCACGCGGCAGATGAAAGTGCTCTCTGTTTACCAACTTTCACACAAGGCAAGATGTGGCTCAAGGCCAGTTTTTAACATGAGGCATTCCAAGCCCGTAGAAAAAGAATATCATATTATTGGTATTGATTGAGCATCTCTATATTTACCCAAACTCCCCACAGGCCGGTTTGACGAGGGTTTTCCGAGCCCGTAGGCCCGGGTAAAATTTCCCTGTAGACCCCGGGTAAACGGTGTCGGCTTTGTCTACCTCCCTAGATGAGACTCTGCCCTTCGGAATAGCCACATCTGGGTTCCTCTCTGTCTTCGGGTAGAGAGTTCCACAAGCACGATGAGCTTATCGCGCGGCTAAGACCTAATGCTAAATTGGTATTTACCCGAGCTCCCCACAAGATGCGGCACAAGGCCGGTTTAACTTGGGTTTTTCTGAGCCCGTAGGCCCG